CCGATAGAAATATTTGATATTTAAGAAATTATGAGTTTCGAATATTCGATATTATTATTTGTTATATGTTAAAGTGACGTATATATATAATTTATTATGTTATGTTTGATGGGTTAAATAATCACGAAATGCTAACATGTTTGTCTTTAAAAAAAGAAAACGTATTTATTTACATTGATTTGATGGTGATGAAAACCTGTTTTACAAGTTAAGTAATTTTTTCTTTGGTGGAGATGTTGTTTAATTACTTAAAAGATGGTCCATGTTTTGCAAGTTTAAAAAGGCTAGATTTTTATTTTTTGTTAACTTGCAAGGTTATAAAAGCATATAATTGGTGGTGGTGGAAGAGCATTATTAAACTTGTAATTGTTAAATAAAACACAAATATAGATGTGTCTTAAATATAAACATACACAGGCAAATGGAGCAATTGGAGATTTATATGAATTTTGTTTTTGTACATATATATGACAACAGCAAATAGGTAAAATTTACAAGTTTTGCTGTCCTAACTTATCATCATGGTCTTGATTTTGGTTGTTTGTGTCGTTCTCAAAGATATGGGTCGAACTGAAGTGGGCACAAAAAATTAGAATGTCTAATATGTCATGGCTGATCATTTCTACAAAGAACTAATGGTATAGTAACCTGAGAGGTGAATCCATTGTCTTGCATTAGATCAGAACATTTTAACTAAACCAATGTTTTGCAATGTCATTGTGCATATACATTCTTACTTCGATAGTATCGTAGCTGATAGTTGATAGTACATATATTATGATATATACAATTGCAAAATAAATATAACACATTAATATTTGAGTGGGTGTAAATAGCAACTAATATTTTTGTACAGAGTTTTGTTTTTTTTTTAAATTTCAAACATAATGTCTTTGCAGGAAAGTACTTTAGAATATGTGGATCACGGAATAATTCATGAATGGTCCAATAATATCCCATGAAGAATGGAAGAATGGAAGGGCTTTTCATGGGCAACAGGCGCATATTTGGATCCACCATTCGTGAGTTGTGTCATATCGCACAATTGATGCTCTTTTTGAAGAAAAACTCTTGTTTAAAGGTAAAATTAAATAGTTAATTAGACATTACAGCAAAAAAAATGAAACATACGGTTTATCTTTTGATTTATTAGGTTTTAAAGAAATTTTGAAGAAGAAAAGGAAGAGAATATATATATATATATATATATATTTTACAAAAACAAATAATGTGTTTTATGAAAATCATGTGATTAACAAATGAATAGAAAATAGTTGGGCAAAAGTTTGTTACGAACAAACTAATTATATATAATTATCTTATGCGGGTAATTGTGACATTGTAGTGTTGATTATATTGGAAAGTAGTAGACTGTTTAAGGACTATAGAAAAGGCGACAAATCGTGCATTTGGTAGAAAGAAAAAATTTATAGGTCGAGAGCATCATGCTAGTGCAACTGTGCTATGATTGTTTTGTTTTGAATCCTCACGTACGATCCTTCTCTATTCTCAATGCAACGGTATTATTTGTTGAAGGTGAAATGGTGAGAAATGTAATGAAGCATTGTTGATTTAAAGAGCAATTGATTAGGTATTCTCAATGAGAAAGATTGTTTGTTTCGACCAAACAAGTGAAAAGAGAATTTGGGTTTTTTTTTTTTTTTTTTAAAAAATCTTATGCAGGTGTGGTATGATCAATTTATATAAGGTTCAGTTGAGAGAAAGAGTTTTTTTTTATGTGCTTTAAATTAACTGGGTAGGTTGATTAGTTTAGAAATTGTGGTAAATAGATATAATTTTTGTTTAGTTTTGATTGTAGTAAATAAGGTGTGACTTTTTAATGGTCTATTTGATGGTTAAATGAGGGTCGGTGGAAGGTTGAATTTATCTTGGGAGAAGATAAAATTTTATGTTGAGGTGTTAAATTAGTTTATTTGTGTATTGTTAAATATTTTTTATCGGTTTACGATGGAAAATTGTTTGGTTTTAAAAGCTGATTTGACCTTTTAATAATGTATGTGTGAAGTTTGAATATTTTATTTCATGTGGAAGGCAAGAATCTTTAGTCATTTTCGTTGTCTTGTGCAAATAAATGTGGTCTTGGAAGGCAAAGCTAGTCTAGGATTTTGGCCATTTTTTAAGCGGCAATTTTTTGTGCCTTCGAAAATATATTATTGTATGTTATTATTATGGTTTTGCAGTGGAGCTGTAGACATCTAAATATTTGTGCGTACAATAAGGAACAAAAAGAGTAGTGCAAGGGCTGTGATTTGTCTAAAATTATAAACGGCCGCGTATAAGAGCTAGTTGAGGATGATAAAAATTTGAAGGGATAATATTTTTTAAAAACAAATGGGTGGAGTAGTATCATTACATTACATTAAATACACTGAGCAAGACATAATGGAAATTACAAAATTGGGCAGAAAAGCTAGCCAACAAAGGGTTAAAAATAAGGACAGCAAAGTAAGTTTCGAAGAGTAGCGAATGACACTAATGTAAATCAAGACAAAAGAAAAGGGCACGAGGTAGGATCTGAGAAGGAAAAAGAGTGAAATAGGGGGAATTTGAGTGGGAATCATGCGGTAGCAACGAAACCACAATATATCATTAAGAAAAAAATCAGATGACTCAGATGCATGTAATAGAAGAAAACAATAGCATTGAGTTTCGCGTGAACAGAAAAACAATGGTAATTTACCTGCGTGTTTTAGGTTGCTTGTGGTTATTATATAATAAAATAAGATTATTTTCATTGTATAACTCAAGATTCACAGACCTCTCAGTAAGGAAAACAAAAAAAACAAAACCCTCTTAATTTAAATGAGACGTCTTAGCATGGGAATTAGTTTTTACAATGAAAGATATTTTAGTACATGAAAATTCACTAAATTTCATTGTAATTTTGCATAACATGGCTAATTTCTTTTCATATTGGATCCAATTTATTTATGAAAAAAGTTCTTTATTGTGATTTTTTTTTTAAAAAAAAAATTCGAAGAGGAGATACTTAACTACTGGATAAGAAACTAGTTTATCAAGAACCAACATATTAGGGTTTTACTATATTCTAAAATTGAGTTCTCAAAAAGCAAAATGTTTGTTGAAACAATTTAATTGGAGATGCCTTGAACAAATAAAGCATGGTGTATATGGATCGTATAATTTAAGCCAGTATTACGATTCCCGCTACAAGAAGGCAAAGGATCCTTCATTGAAAAAAAAATGCTGATTGATTTTTGGTAAGAAGAAGAAGAAGAAAAAGTCTCGATTGCTTAATAGTCAATTTCCAGGTAAACGTACATAATAATCTAATTAATTCTGGTCCCCCTTTGAAAATAAGGATGGCAATGTTTTTGAACGTGCAACTTCTACCTCTTACCTAATTTTGGAGCCCGAATTTGGGCCTCTGATGCCCGAGACAGGGTTCGGTCATAACTTGCATAGCCCAGTTTGCTTCTTGGCGCTGTTAGGCTCGAATAATATCCAAAGCTCATTTCAAGACCTAGAAATGTACGCGTGGTTGTGTATAAGAGGAAAAACGATTAATGGCATATTTGATATTTCATGTGCACGTATATATAATTTTTTCTTTGAATAAAAATAAAATTTGAAAAAAAATATTAATTTAAAATATTTTTTTTCTTTTAAGGTATGATGTTGTCTTTGAAAATCATACAGGATAATATAGTGTCATACAAAAATAAAAATTTTATATCAAGCTTTCAATTATTAAGTAAAAAAAAAAGAATAAAATTATGTCGTTTTCTATCAATTATCTTTGTTATTAGAAACTTTATCTAGTGATTTCATTTTATTGAAAGATAAATTCATATATATATATACAAAATAAATATTTTATTTAGATTTTTTTTTCCAAGTCAAAGATGAAGTAGATAGTCCCCAATTTTCAAAATCTTGCTTCAGTTGGTTTTATTTGACTGCAATCATATAGGGCTCATTTGACTCAGTCAATAATTCAAGGACTAAATTGATAGATTAGGGATAATACATGGGGCAAATTATGGATTTAGCCATATCTTTTTCTGATGGTTTTGTTTTGATTATGTTTATTTTTTACTTTTTACATTCAACTCTGAGAGAATTTTCGAATCAAATTGCACATTAATTGAAATTAAATTTTGTATTTAAACGATTTTAAAGATGCACAATCTACATCAATCTAGTGCATTTAACGTAATTTAGTATATATTTTTTTAAGATGGTTAAGCTAAAATTCGAACCCATAAAAATTTAAAAGAAAGCAAATCTATCTAATTTTCAGGTCAATTCCTTAATGTTTTTTTCCCCCTTGGTTTTGTTTCCTGAACCTTGTATTGCGAAAGCAAAAATATGGTCGACACTCTTTCAAGAGAAAAAACAAAAAATAGAAAAAAGTGGAATCACCCATGACCCAACCCAACCGCTAGACAAACTCGATTTGTAGCTCCAAACTTTGGGAAAATTAAAGCCTTGGGGCTCAATTTGGGAAAAATGGGGAAAGACCCATCATGCAACTCAACAAAACCTACGAGCCTATTGACTAATGGGCTAACCTAGCACCCTCAAAATGGAAATAACGAACCAGCCATTAAAAAGAAAAAGAAACAAAACAAAACCGTAATTAAAATTTTTGAAGATCAAAAGAAAATGGCTGGCTAACGCAGGAGACAACATTAATCTTCAGACGTCCACTAAGGGGAGTTCAGTTTTGTCTCTTATCAACTCCTATCCATTCTCAAACCTCCTCGAGTGACCACAACTTTTTCGCATGCAAAAGTAAAAACGCAGAGACATTCTTTTCCACGCCCAATAAAACTCAAAATCCAATCCAATCCAATCCTTGTCCTCCACAAACTCACAACTCCATTTCCGCCTTCGCTTGCCCCCACCATATACTCTCTCTAACTCACACTCACCACTTCCAATAAATAAAAAAATGAAACAATTAATTTAAAACAAAAAGGAGGACAAATTAATTGTCAAAACCGAAAAGGAAGATGCTATCCAAGGAATCAGGTGGTTCCACCTTCGATCTTCCCGATGAAGTATTGGAAGTCTTACCTTCTGATCCATTCCAACAACTCGATGTGGCCCGCAAAATCACTTCCATTGCTCTCTCTACACGTGTCTCCGCTCTTGAATCCGAGTCCTCCCTTCTTCGCGCCAAACTCGCCGAGAAAGATGACCACCTCGCCGACCTCCAGTCTCAGATCGAGTCTCTCGATTCTTCTCTCTCTGAGACCTCCGATAAACTCTCCCAGGCTAACCAGGAGAAGGTCCGACCCAATTTTTTCTTGACCCGGTTTGGATTCTCTTTTTTGAATCTTGTTGTTGACTTTTTTGTTTTGACTTTTTTATTGTTTAGGAGAATTTGTTGAAAGAGAATTCTTCGTTGTCTAACACTGTAAAGAAGCTTCAAAGAGATGTTTCTAAGGTAATTGAATTAAAGCTTTGCTTAAGTGCAGATTATGTTACTCCATAAACTTAGCCCATTGGAATTAAGGTTTACATAATTTGGTAGTTAATGGTTATGAAGCATTTTTGTTTTTTTTTTTAAAGGAACCAATTAGATTGCTTGGGTGTAATTTGCTTTCTTTTTTAAAAGATAAAAGTATTGTCGAAGAATCGTATTTATGTGTTGAGTGTGAGGATTTAAACTTTTTGAATGTGTGCAGCTGGAAGTTTTTAGAAAGACACTTGTGCAGTCACTTCAAGAGGATGAAGAAAGTTCGGTAATTTATCCTACGAGTTTGTCTCGACTGATTAATAATCTTGTTCTAAAGAAGTGTTGTGAGATAACGTGTGGAGGTTTTGGTGTGATGTTGATCTGCTTTTGTGGCAGGCAGGAGCTGCACAGATCATTGCCAAGCCTACCCCAAATGGTATGTGTTCCGCTATCCGGTGATGATCACATGCTTTCCGTTTCCATTTAGAGTTCTACAATAGGAAAACAAAGCACCTCATTTTGGAGTTTTTATGATGGTTTATTAATGGAAAATTTGGCCTGCCTAATTAAAATGCTTAAAAAAAAAAGCATTTTTATGGCGGAAAATGTTTGATTAATCATTACAAGTGCTTCAGTTGTTACAGGTTCTACATTAGTTCGTCTCACTGTACATATATAGATTTGCGTAGAAGTTTATAGCCACCAATTTTGTGATGATTTGTTTATTATTGTACTGCCAGAACATTTGGTTTGATTGTATTTGACTTGCCATTTTTTTCTTAATTTGTTTCAGAAGATGATGCCACCTTGCCACCTTCAAGATATTCTTCAATAGAAAGCAAGGTTTCAGAAATGGGCAACTCATTTGCAGAGGATCGCGAGATAGATGGTATGACACAAGTTTGTGGTTTTAAGCTTGTTTCTTTCTTAAGATGAAATTTCTCCATTTTGCATTAGACCTAAGTTTTACTCTGGCATTTATGTTACTTGGTCGATAAATAAAGCACAGCCCAATTTACTATCAAGTTGAAGAAATAATGGTTGCAATGGAGTGTACTAAATTATTTTCCTTTTTGTAAAAGAAATTTATCATACTCATTTACTTCCTCATGATATTTTCTTGGCAGCTCGAAGATCTGGCATATCACAGATTCTGCGGGCATCCCAAACAAGCACACCCCGGCTTACTCCTCCAGGCTCACCTCCTAGTTTTTCTGCTTCTGTGTCTCCAACAAGGACATCTAAATCAGTGTCTCCAAAACGACATTCAATGTCATTCTCTGTGGCAAGAAGCATGGATGATAGATCCTCTGTCTTCTCTTCTCTGCCCCCAAGCCAACATAGTTCAATGTCAAGTGACACCGGATCACAAGCCGGTTAGCTCTAAAACTTCTTTGTAGCATAAAGTTTATGGAGAATTTGATTGATAGAGATGTCAGATCTCTTATGTCTTGGATACCATGTCAAATAGCAAGTTGCTGTGATTTGAACCCTGTCCCTTTAAAGCTCTTTTGAACTTAATGACTTGGAGTTAACTTTTATTTTCCTGGAAATGAAAGGAAGCAATTGGATTTAATTGGAAAAAAATGAATATGTGATGATTGTATGTCTTCGATAGATACTGAACAGCTTAGCTATATGAATTCAAGCAACTTGTTTGACATTGATGTCACATTGTGAGAATAAAATAATCATGCCTAACAATTTACTCTTTCGTTGTTAACTTTAAATCATATAACTGTTGATTTTAAAGTGATGATAAGACATATTTCAAGTCTTTCCTTCAAAGATGGAGATGTATTGATTAGTGTAGATTGACTTTTTGGCAATGGTCTTTTATATTTGTTGCCAAACAATATTAACAATACAGTATATGTACAGATACCTTTCATTTTTGTGTTTTGGAGAACACCGAAGGCAATGGATAACAACTTTTTTTACTAGCCTAACTAAAACTGTTTCAGGATGTTTCATGTATTTGTTTTGTCATTTTATTAGTTTTTTGTTTTTCCATGGCTCAGGACGAACTCGAGTTGATGGCAAAGAATTCTTCCGCCAAGTCAGGTGAGGGTTCACTGTGGTAAAAAAACTTGAATCAATATCACAATTAATAAATTCTGCTACATTGAATGACATCAGAATCAATACCCATGCAGATTTAGTTTTATATATTTGGGCAGTGAGCTTTCTTCGAATGCAAAAGGACCTGCTAAAATTGCTTAGTTATTGCACTATTTTTTCTGCCCAACAATCACAAATTGTTACTTTTTGCCTATGAGTTTAAATCTATTTGTGGTTTATTAACTGATTAATGTAATTCCTTCTTTTGTTGATCAGGACCCGCTTGTCTTATGAGCAGTTTGGTGCTTTTTTGGCAAATGTTAAGGAATTGAACTCCCACAGGCAAACAAAAGAAGTAAATTTCTCCACCACCCTTTCCATTTGTTGTTAACAACTTCACTTGCTATCTATTTTTTCATCCATTTGATTTTCTGTAATATCTCAGGAGACCCTAAGGAAGGCCGAGGAAATTTTTGGTCCAGATAACAAGGATCTTTACACGATATTTGAGGGATTGATCTCTCGCAATGTTCATTGAATATGTTCAGCGGGGACTATATCCAACGTCTGTAAGCATTGGTTTTACAACTTAGTACACATATTACACTTTTGTTGTAAATTATTTTTTTTCAAGTGGAGACTTTCTTCAGCACTCTTCAATTTGATATTTTATTGTGTTAAAATGGTTGATGAAAAAATTTATGAAATGTACAAAGAAAATGTATAATAAAATTGTACCAGGAAGGAGAGTTCTTTTCTTTTATTTTCTTTTTTGCTGTAGATGTCAAAGAAGATCTTGTATGTATGTCTATCTGGTTACTTACATTCGTTTCTTTATTGATAGCAAATTCCTGACTTTTGAACATTGTTGCACTATCTGATCCACATGCATAGTTTCTGTTATTTTAAAGGAGCATGTTAGGAATGCCATTGTAGTGAGAGTAGGTCTATTAATTTATTTTTGAATTGTCATCGAATTTGCCCTCTGTAGAATATTAGGCTGCATAAATGCTTTGGCATTTTTGTGTTTTTTTCTTCATTTATTGAGGCAGGAAATAGGAGCACCATATTTCTGTCATTATTTAGTGTCGCTTTGAAACATGGTAAGAAGACATATAGGTATATCACAAATAGTCGTTAGTGGTAAGCATATTTTGACTATTGAATGCAGTGAAGTGAAATATTTGAATCTACTGCGGTTTTTCTTATAACTGTCAGTAATTCTTGAATTACGAGGAAATTTTGTGTGCTTCCATTAAAAAAATAGATATGCTCGTGCAATCTATTTTGATTAAAAAGCCTACGATTGTACAGCTTGATTGAGAGATCCCATGTTTGGTAATGGGATCTAGACAGAACTACAGATATAATACAATAGTAGTACAGATTTTGCTACAAGATAGGCTTTTCGCATCCTGAAGGAAGGCTTTCAGGAAATGCGTTTCTCGTGGTGTGCCATATCCAGCACAGATAACATAAATCTCCATTTAGTTTAAGCAAACCAGGTTAGTAGTGTTTTCCCGATTCCATCAAGTTAAAAAAATATCCAAGAACTATTTCGATCAGGTTGGGTAACAGATTGTCTTTGAGCGTGAGAATGCTATTATCCACGGTGTGAAATCTCCCTGGTGCTGGCTTGGCAACTTTCCTCTTGATTTGGATTTTGGAATAATATCCAGTGCTTAATATGTGCCTGTCAATTTTGCATCTTCATCTATCGGTGGACTTGGGATTGAGTTTCTCAAACAGTATCCATTTATTTCCTTAATTCCTCCAGTTTCTGGTTTCTCATAAGCTTGATCTCAAATAGCTGTGCAGCTTCAAATGATGTTACCAAGTTAGTTAACATCCTATTTTCCTTGCTCCAATGTTTGTGCTAGAGGAATGTTGCAACTACGACTTATCTAGGAATAATAATAATAATACCTCAATCTCACGAAAACGATATAATTACCTCTGCTTGTTTTCTCTTTTTACTTGATATTGTGAATTGGTAGGTTTGAGTTATGTCATAACTCACAAGTGACTTTGCTCTGAGAGAAAAATTTCAATTTCAAATTCAACCTGTGTGAGAAAATTAATTTCTACAGAAGTTCAAGATAGCATTTTAAGAAATCTCTTTAGTTCAGAGACTGATTTAGGTTTGACTAAAATTCAAAAGGTCTTGCAAGATTCAACCTTTCTTTTTTATTTGCAAGGTGGTGCTTTGTTTTTCTTCTTCTTCTTCTAATGATGTTGTGAATGCCTATACATGTTTGGAATCATGTCATAAGTATGTTTGCCTCCATACGTATACCAAGTATTGCTAAATAGCCCGTCCAAACCTAGCTAGAGATAGACTTTGGTCAATGATTTTTAATTTTTAATTTTTTTTCCAGTAAAATGTATTTTTAGACTAGTTTAGGTAAAGTGTAAGTGTAAATGCTGTAAAAAAAAAAAAAAAAAAAAAAAAAACCTGGAATTTTGTGAATGCAACGTTGTTGTTACGAATCAGATAATCCAACAGCTAATGCACGTCTCGTACGTTTTGCTGCTTCTATTGTTCTGTTCAATCAAACGGTCATTTAATTTGAAGAGCATCCAACCAATCGGCCGTTGATTCGGTTCTTCCTTTGCCGGGTTTAAGAAAGAATCTATGCATACTAACGTGGCAAGAGCTCAGTAAAGAAGACTAATGAGATTTTCCCGGGCAAGCCAAGAGGAAAACTTTTGACGTGCTTGCGTACAAAGTCTTCATCAATCTACTAATTTTATGGATTTTTTTATCCATCTACAAAAATTAAGCTAATAAGCTCAAAATTTATTATGGAGTAGATTAATTAAGAATGGAGAAAAAAATCAGGAAGGGAGAATAATGACAAATAAAAGCCGAATTTTGTGCATCCAAATTGGGTAAAGAAATGTCAAAATCAAGTAATGGGACTATTTAGAGAAGCAAAGAGAAATCATGCCAACCGCTACTTTCATCTCTCTCTCTCTGTCTCTCTCACACGCATTTCCTCTGTCTCCCTTTTGGTTTTGTATCGTCTCTCTGCCTTGGTCACCTCTTCGAGACACCATGGAAGATGTCCAAGAACCTTCAGCTTCTTTGTGGTACTTTCTTCACATCCTTTACAGCTTTTTTTTTTCCTTGGTTTTGATTGGAATTTAAAACGTTATAACTAATAATATTTATGCTTTTTTAGATTATTTTTTTGTTTATTCTTTTGATCACTTGATTGTATAGAGTTAACACATTGTTTTTACATGAATTATTAAGGGAGACAAGAACTTCTGTGTCATTTCGACTGCTATAGATAAGATGATGAACATAATTTGGTGATGGGGCTGGAAACGTTTTCAAGAATGAAGTTTCATGCATTATCATGATATTAACCACAAGTTTGTTTCATGTAATGTGGTTTTCTTCCCTTTTTCTAGGTGGTTTTACATTTTTTGAACATGGGAATAACTGAATAGGTATTTTAGGTGCGTTCTTCCCTCAATTCCCTTCTTGTGTTGCTTTACAGACGATGTCAGAATGGTTCCGTTTTAATTTCTTCAGTCACATGTTGCAATAGCCTTATCTATAATTGCTAATGTCTAGTATTTTAATCTTGTTGTCATGAGATGTTTTAACCTGCTGTGGATCCTTTGGGTTTCCGCACAATCTCTGTTTTATTTTAATGACACAGACTTGTGTTGGCAGCAATGGTTCTCAGGACACTTCAGAGGAAAATCAAGAAAAGAAAGCTATTCCTGTTCGGCGTAAACGACTAACGCGATCAAGTTTTACTGCCTCCTTTTCGTCTCGCGGTACTACTTGGTTACTATCTTATCATTCCTCTTCATTAATGCAGCCTCTGTTGAATGTTTTCTTAGTGTTATTTATTTGAATGTTTCTGCATCAGATACGAAATCCTTCATTGTGGAGGCAGAGGAGGAAAAGGAGAGCAGGGATGGCACAGAAGAGTCCTCTCCAAGAGGAGTTCTAGAAGACTCTGTTAGCATAGAATCTGAAACTTCTTCCAAGACAAGCACTTCAAATAGCTATGAATATGAAACAACTTCTCCCAGGGCCAGCACTTCAGGCTCCGAAGGGCAACTGAATGCCACCGCTCCCTGGCGTGACTTCTTTCGCGTACTTAAAAAGGGACCTGCAGCAAGCTTTCATACTCTTCCTCCTCTGAAGAAAGGCGTACCAAAGCTGAGTAAAAGGAGAAGCAGAAGCAGAAGATTCAGAGAGGAGATTGTTCCAACTCTACATTCTCCACTAGATGGCGAGTTCTGCCATTTCAAATCTTCATGGAAGAACTTTTCACTCTCAGAACTCCATGCTGCAACTGATACTTTTAGCAAAGGTTTAAGCTTGTCATATTCTTTTAAGATTCAAAAACTTCATTAGCCAATTCCATGGTTAAGCATGCAACTCCAAATGCGATGCACTATTTGTTATGTTGTTGTAGTTGTAGTTGTGTTGTCCCAATCTTGATATGCTAACGATACCTTGCCTTCCTTCATGAAGAAAATTTGATTGGAGAAGGAGGCTATGCTGAAGTTTACAAAGGGCAATTGAAAGATGGGCAGTTTGTTGCAATTAAACGGCTGACCAGAGGTTCACCAGAAGAGATGACTGTTGATTTCTTATCGGAGCTTGGGATTATAGTCCACGTTGACCATCCTAATGTTGCCAAAGTGATTGGCTATGGGGTCGAAGGGGGAATGCATCTTGTCCTTGAATTGTCTGCCAATGGGAGCCTAGCATCTTTACTCTATGGTCTGTTCATTATCCAGATTATTGTGAAGTTCATATCTCTCACGAGTTTTCCACCAAAATGAGGTATCAATTTGTTTCCTACCAAATGTTGCCAGGCCCAAAGGAAAAGCTGGACTGGCAAATCAGATATAAAATTGCTCTTGGAACTGCTCAGGGCCTACTGTATCTTCATGAGGAGTGCCAGAGGAGAATCATCCATAAAGATATCAAGGCTTCCAATATATTGCTAACACAGGACCTTGAGCCTCAGGTTAGCTTCAGAACCTGAAACCCAATTTCTTACTGCTGTAATATGCATGCAACACCTAAATCTCCCCTTAATCTCTGAATTCGTAGCTTCAAATTGTTTCAGATTTCAGATTTCGGGCTTGCAAAATGGTTACCAGAGGAGTGGTCTCATCACACTGTATCAAAAATTGAAGGCACATTTGGGTTTGTAATCCAAAATTTGGCATGTTCTTGAATGATCAAGATATATTTTACCTTGCAACCCGACCTCATTTCTTATCTTGGCAGTTACCTTCCTCCTGAATTCTTCATGAATGGGATAGTCGATGAGAAGACAGATGTCTATGCATACGGAGTTCTGTTATTAGAGCTCATTACTGGAAGGCAAGCTTTAGATAGTTCACAGCAGAGTCTTGTAATGTGGGTGTGTATGCTGCTTCTTTCTAATCCTGTGTGATTCAAGTCTGTTGTATTGTATTTTCACCAAGAATTTATGCAGCTTTGACCAATGTTATTGTCAGGCAAAACCTTTGCTACTGAATAATAGCATCAAGGAGCTTGTTGATCCAATTCTGGCAGATGCCCATGACTCAGAACAGATAGATCGTCTGGCATGTACTGCTTGTATGTGCATACATCAATCTCCTTCGGAGCGACCTCAAATGAGCCAAGTATATTTTCTTCCCCTAGAAATACTTCAACAAAGTTTTGTGCGGTTCTGTTAAATGAAGATCTCTCTGCAGGTTGTGAAGGTTTTAAGAGGAGATGAAAGCAGCTTGGAAGAGCTAAAGCAACGACAAAGGACTAAACACCAGAGAACACCCTCGGTTGAGCAACTCTTTGATGCAGATGAATACGATTCGCAAGAGTGTCTAAGCGATCTCAATCAACAGATGGAGGTGGTTTTGGGCAACCGTAATGAAAAGTCCGAAGACCATCACCGATCAACCGGGTGCGAGAGCCTTAACGATCCGAATCAACAGGAGGGAGTGGCGGTTCCGAGCCATACTGAAATTTAAACCATACCATCCTTCTCTGTTCACAAGGTATCGACTTCCTCCAGGATGTCATTGCTGTGAAAAGATTCACCAATGGAGCCAAAACATTTTGGAAGGACAGAAAAAAGTGAGAAATGGATGCGAGGAAAGGAACTGTTCAGACCAAATAAACATGTTTCTGTCTTGGGGATGCTTGCTTCGTGTATCATTATAATTTTTGTCAGCTATAGTTTTTATTATTCGTCAGATTAATGTTTCTCTTCGAAGTTGAGTGTAATTTGAAAATAAACTTTACATTTGTCCTTTTTTTTTAATAAAAAAAATTAGGTGTATAGATAAATCTCTCCAGCTAATAGGTACGAGTCAGATTAGAACTGCTAAAAACAATTCAAACTTGATGACATTTATTGAGCCAATCAAAACTGAAGCAGTTGAACTATAACATTCATCGAATTAGACCATTCTAGTTCAAGATTAAATCATACTATGTTTTTTATATGAATTTTAATTTTTTATATTTAAATACATTAATTTTTTTAAAAAATTATCAATAATTCCTTCAAACAAAATTATAATTTTATTCTCTTTTTATTAAATTTTCTTCTTAAATTATTTTACAGTTTCCAAATTTGATAAAAAAATTAAAAAAAAATTTTAACTAAATTTTTTTAAATTAAACTAAGTTAGATTATTATTGCAAAAAAAAATCGTTTAAGTTTATGAGTAAAAAAAAAAAAAGAATAAATTTTCTTTTGTGCTTATTTCACGTTCTATATATATATATATATATATATATATATATATATATATATATTAACAACAAATCTAATTTAGTGTAGTTCGAAATTTTTTAATTAAATTAAAAAATTATAATTAAGTATTTAAAAATCTTACCAGTTAGATAAAAAAATGATAAAAATATTTATTAATAATTTTGAAAAAAATAATATACTTAAATAAAAAAATAAAAAAAATTATGATTTGATATTATAAAAATTACAACATGTCAACGATAAAAAAAAAATTGATGGAATTACTTCATTAGAAAAATTAATATATTTAAATAAAAAAATTAAAATTCATAACTTGATTGAAAAAAAATTTGAAAATTATTGTATTGGTAGTGCTATTATCCCTTTTCTCTTTAGTAACGTTTCTTTCCCCTCTCATAAGGTTCCCAAACACCATTGTTAGGAACTTTCATTTTCCTAGAAAATTTTTAACATTTTTCCCAGAAAATATCTCTCTCTCCTCTCAAATTTGATGGCTACCGCGATCTACCCTCTCCATTTCCTGTTTCTACTGTCGTTCTCTTTAATTCTCCATAAATCCAGCTCTTATCCAGGTACTTCTAGCTCCATTATCAACCCTGCCAAAGTCAAACAAGTCTCTTGGAAGCCAAGGTCTCTCTCTCTCTCTCTCTCTCTCTCTCTCTCTCTCAGATTTAGAAATTTCACACATTTCATTTTCTAAACTGAAACATAATCTAAATAAATTAAAAATATTGATGATGATTTTGCAGGGCATTTGTGTACGAAGGATTTCTAACGGACTTAGAATGCGATCACTTGATTTCTCTGGTGAGTATTCTCTTTTGACATCGGGATTTAATATATTCTTCTCTTAATTGACTTTGATTTTTATGAAAATTAAGGCGAAATCGGAGTTGAAAAGATCAGCAGTGGCTGATAATTTGAGTGGAAAGAGTAAACTTAGCGAAGTTCGAACAAGTTCTGGAATGTTTATTCCAAAAGCAAAGGTTTGTTTGTTTGTTTTTTTTTTTAAAATCCACTTATATAGTAATTTTTTGCTAGTCTGATCGAACTAACTAGATTTGGCTTACAACACTGTCAAATTAAGCTTTATAATTTTTTTTTACCCTTTCTATAGGATCCAATTGTTGCAGGTATAGAGGACAAGATTGCAACGTGGACTTTTCTTCCAAAAGGTGTGTACTATAATCTGAGGAATGCTTAGAGTCATCATTTTTTCCTTTCATTTTTTGGATAACTGCTAATTTTACTGATATTTCTAACTTTTTCTCGCCAACATGTACATATTAAGTTGTCAGTTTCAATTCCATATTCATCACTATAATTCTTGCTTGTTTATGAAATTGGAATTTTCACAGTTCAATTTTGTATGCAAGTAATGTAACAATATAAAATTTGAAAATGATCGTGCAAGGCCAGGTCTCACTGAGGGCTGATCAGGGCTCACAGTTGTGAGGGCTATGCCTGCCTTCCAAGCCAGTGCCACAACTTACTGCATGAGGCCATATATAGCTTGCACCAAGACCATACCTAGCCTACTCTATGTGCCCCTTTTTTCCTGCCTGGTGGCAAGACCATGGAATGTAAAAATGCATGCTCTTGCATATAGCTCCCCACCAATTCTGTTATACCCAACATTACCTCCATAAAATGCATATAAAGCCTTTTCGTTCCCAAAAATTTGAGTGGTCAATTGAGCTTCACATTTTGTTCAAATGGAAGTGATGGAATTCCCTCTTGAATGATTTTAACTTTCCTGAGTATGTACTTCCTCTGTCCCTTAAATTTAGATGCCGGGATGCAGTCTTCCAAAGAGGGAAAACCCAAGAAACGTAAGGTGCAAAGCCCCCACACCTCATTAAAATCATATTGGCATACTCAAGCTTACTTTTTTAGAAGCTTGATCAGGGTTGTGTCTATTTTCTTTTTCCCTTAAGTTTTGTGCCACTTAAAAGTTGATGGATACTAATCATTGAATTACCAACTATGCCCTAATGGTGGTGCTTCCAATAAATGGAATTCAGAAGAAAACTGATTAAGATTGAGAATACATATTGTATTACAAGCATATTTGAATGAAAAGTGGACCATTTATTACGCTAAAACAATGTCATTTGCCAAAATGGACTATTTTATTGGAACTGATTAACTTCTAAGGAGATTCTTGCTGCTCATTGTTATACTGTGTGAAGCAGCTTTTGAGTGTCATAGAAGAGCCTATTAAGCAGCTTCTTGGTTACAAACTTGTTTTCAAGGCTTTGCCTCTCACTTTTGGTGCCTATTGCTATCTAATTTCTAAGATTTTTTTATATTCAAAATCTTAGTATTGATCGTCATTGACCTGGGAGATGCTTGGCATTCATGCTGGAACATATTTTGGACGCAAGTAATGCTATATAGTTGGTGTTCAGCAGTTCATAAGGGTTTAGGTTTGAAGTGTGCTATTAAAAAAAAAAAAAATTAGATTTAGAATGAGAATGAATGATCTGCCAAATTGAACTCTTAATTCCGAAGAAAGCTCTGCTTTCAAGTATATGAATCATTAAATGCTGTTAAAGAAACAGAAAAAACATGACGTGAGAAATTCTATTTATATTTGGTTGTGGTTTATACTTTAATGGCTTGTTCTTCCTTGGTATACGAGTTATGAGATCCTGAAGCTACTATAGTGTTTGCTTCATTCTGTTATATTCATTTGCAAGAAAGTTTTAACCATTGCTCACTCCCAAAATAAACAGGTCAGCTTAACTGTCTTTTAATAACATGTAGTAATATGTAACATGTGCAATGGTTAAGATTTTACTCTTTCCCACCCTTTTCAACATATGGGCATGACAGTGATCTGTATTTCTTTTGGTCAGAGAATGGGGAAGACATGCAAGTATTGAGATATGAGCATGGGCAGAAATATGATCCCCACTATGATTACTTTGCTGACAAAGTTAATATTGCCCGTGGTGGACACCGGTTGGCAACTGTACTCATGTATCTTACAGATGTTGTAAAGGGTGGTGAAACAGTGTTCCCCTCAGCCGAGGTCAGTTCAAGTGTCTTATTCTTTCCCATCATGTATATGCCTGTGTTTTTCCATTTTGCAAGAACTTCCGCTTTCATGGTCCTAAGGAATTTGGTTTAGTCTCAAATACCTTCGAGATTTGGTTGTGTGCATGAGACATGCTGATAGGCCTAACATATCTCTTGGATTAGCTACAACATTGGTTGTTTTCACTTAGACCTAATTATGCAACCGCTTCTCCAAAATTGAAATTAGTAGCATTGAGAAAGGGAGGCAGAGAGAATATTGTACAAGAATAACTCAAGATTTTCAAATAATGATTTTCAATCAGGAACCTCTGCGTCGTAAAGCTTCCGTTAATCATGAAGACCTTTCTGAATGTGCAAGGAAAGGAATTGCAGGTGAGCCACCACACAGATTACAAATGGTTTTGTAACTTGTATTCCCTGAGTTGCATTTGCACTCAGTTAATGTGCTCTTTTGTTTTCTTATCCACACCATGGAAATACTCAGTGAAACCACGTAGGGGGATGCACTTCTTTTCTATAATCTCCATCCAACTGCTGTTCCAGACATAAGCAGCCTTCACGCAGGGTGCCCTGTGATTGAAGGTGAGAAATGGTCTGCCACAAAGTGGATTCATGTGGACTCATTTGACAAGAACGTGGAAGCTGGTGGGAATTGTACTGATCAGAATGAAAGTTGTGAGAGGTGGGCTGCCCTTGGAGAATGCACAAAAAACACTGAGTACATGGTTGGATCTCCGGACCTTCCTGGATATTGTAGGAGGAGTTGTAAGGTATGTTAAGCTTATCACTGTATGCCTTCCACGCTCCTTGTAGGTTTCCCCGTGGTGGGTTGTTCTGTCTTTTTGGTGGGCTGTACTTGATTTTTCTTTTCATTTACAATCTTGTAGACATTGCTGAAAATGTGTATTTTACAAGTTGTATTCATGTCTCAATGGTTTTAAACTTGTATTTTCCTCTCATTGTAGATACAGCCAGCTTTTTATGAAATGAATGAAATACAGAGAATGCATTAACATATGTTCTTCAATAGCTGTTCTTTGCTTTCTCTCTCTCTCCCTCTCTCTCTCTGAGTACTTCCGAGAGAAAAGCTGTTGTGAGTTGGAAGAAGTTTGGGGTGGTGGCTGGTTTGTTTGTTTTTTTTTTTGGGGGCATTTTGCGATGTGGCAAAAAAGGATTGAGTCATGCATCCATTCATAAGTGGCTTTGTACTCATTAGCAATCCACTATTCATTTGGCAACCCTCACGTTTGAAAGAAGTCAGCGTTCATTTGGATTCCCATCATATCAAAAGAAAGTAAAAGGATGCCAAAATCTCCTTCCTAGCGCTATTGAAAAAGCTCAAGCAACCACGAACAAATTAATAAACTATCATTGCTCTCTTTCTCCCTTTATTTCTTCGGATTCTTATTCATTTCCAACAAATGTTAATTAGTTTTTGTCAATAAAACTAATCTAATCGGGCTCAAGTGGCTGTGATAATGACAACGATAAAAATATTTCTATTTATACTCAAATTTTGTTTTTCTCTTTATGTCTATTTTTATAGCATAAGTATATAAATTTCTGAGAGTGAAATAATAAAATATTTATTATGTCTTATCGCATCAGGAGAATCTTTGTCCCAACCCAAATACAATCTTCAGTGATCTCTACGAATAATGAAAAGAGAAGAATATTAGCCAATGACCATACAATCAATGTACATACACCTCAATTGCCCTAAAAAAGAATATGAGAATAAAATCGGTAAGGATTCTCCATCCACGTTTGTGGCCTGGTGTCCCACCTCACAAGTCACCATTAAAGCAAGATTTATTATTTTATTTTTTGAAAGAAAGAAAAAAAGGGTTTTGGCCTAAGGTATTGAGGGCATCTTTGGTCCACCTGTCCCTTCACAGGTCATGAAAAATAATAAAGAGGAATTGATTAAGAGTTGAAACTTGAAACAGCTGTAGCCTGTCAGATGGAGGAGGGTTAACACTTGACACTAATCTTTTTTTTATCAATTCATTCATGTTAAATAAATAATTAAATATATGAATGTTGGCAGAGATGAAATAAACCAAGTAAGGCCAGGCCGACTTGCCAATCAATCCTAATGACAGGACATATCCCTTCATAGAGTTCCACTGTATATGTTTGGTGGTTACTCGTGGCTTTTTATGATGTTAAACCCATTTCTAGTTAAACAGAATTGCTATAATTTTTCTTTACGTTAAAATACATTAATTAATCGTATTTAATAGTAACAATTTTTTTAGGTCAATTTTAATTTTCCCTATTAGATTTATGTCTTATCTCAAATTTACCCTTTGATTTGTTTTAATTAAACCCTATATATATTTTTTACTCATCTTTTACTTTTGCTCTAATTTTTTTCCTCCGTCCATTTCCGTCAAGTGTGTAAATTTTGAATTTATTCTTAAAATTTACAAAATATCTCAATATCATTAAAAAAATAATTGAGATTAACAAAAATAAAAATGAAAAATATTTCTTTTATGAAAAAAAATTTATAAAATTTGAGAGAGTTAATTTCTCAAAAAATTCTTAAATCTTACAAACTTTAATTTTCATTTAGCAGTATCAATTTTATTATTTTGTCAATACTTTATATTCAGAATAAATTTAAATTTTTTAATTATTTTTTTCTGTCAAAACTTTCACTATTTTGATATATCTCAGCTGTTATGTTTTTTTTTTTTAAAATTGTCATTAAACAACATATTTGATATGTACAAATAATCATGTTAAAGTTGATGTTGAATTGTCTTATAATTAACTACCATTCCATTCATATGAGATTTTTTTTTCTTGAGAATTCTTGTTCAAGATTCAACGAAAAAATAGATTAAAAAAAAAAGGATATGAAACACTAATCAGAGAATATAAGAGAAACATCAATACTGGTGGTTAGTATTTTGTATTAAAAAAAAAAAAATTCTTATCATATTTGTATTTAATTTAATTTGATTCTTGTATTTCTTTAATATTTTTTCAAATTCATTTTTTATTCTTATCTTTGGGTAATATTGAAATATTTCATAAACTTTAAAGATGAAATTAAAATTTGTACCGAGTAGAAACAAAATTAGAAATACATCATCTAATTGGAACAAATAAATTTTTTTAAAGCCAAATCAAGAAAACACATAAACTTAGAGAAGAACAAATTAAATTTATATTCCCTTTTTTTTTTAATCATGATACTTTTTTATTCTAATCAACTAAAACTATTAATATTTGTTAATTATCACAGCTGGTAATAGTGCATCTGCAAGACATATACCAGCTTTAGTTTTGTTTATTATCTTAAATTGACCTGAGACATTGAATTCCATTTCTAGCTGCAAGAAAATTAAAGAAGATTTAAGTAATTTTAATTAAGAAAAATTATGAGATATAAATGAATAATAATGCCAAAAAAGAGTATTATTCGGTCATTTGCATTTAGGCGACAAAGATCTGAACCAATTCGTGGTATATATATTTTTACTTCATTAACGTAAAAGTGAGCCCTATAAATAATTATTATAGTAGATCATACTTTAATATAAGTAAAAAAAATAATTATTAGAAATATATAAATTAGAGCACAATTTCATTAATCTTTTTTTGACATTTTAATTTAATCATGGAGGAATTATTTAATATTTATAGAAGAAGAGTGAGTACGAATCACGATATACTTAATTTTTTCTTTTAAATTATGATAGCAGTAAGATTGTTTTTTATTTTTATTTTTTTTCTCTCAAAAAGAAAAGATATGTTACAACATCACATGGTTGAAGATACAGTCAAAGCCCACGTGTGAACTTGTAAGCAGAACCAATGGTTTGTAGTGCACATTGGACTAATTTATTTATTTATTTTTATAGGAATACCACAAAAAATAAATAGAAATTTAAATGAGGATGGAAGAAGGTTAAGGTTGATTTAAATGATTGTACATTATAAAAGCAAATAATATTGATGCCCAAAAAAGTGGCTATATATATGTAGAACACAAGCATTAGCATAAATCCAGAGAGGAAAGGACAAAGAAAAGTGGCTATAATTTAGTTACTTAAGCGCCAAAGAGCAAGCAAAAATCTTTCTTTTTCCACGTTAAATTCACCAAATCCCTTTCCAGTATTTCATTTCCATAGCATTTATAGTATAGTTATTACCCTCTTTGATTGTGCAATAACTCCCACAAGATCCGCAAATTTTAGCTACAAAGCTGTGTTGAGTCGTAGCTTCAAAAGCACTGTGATTTTTTTTCTTTTTCGAGAGAGTAAAAGCATGGAGGTTTTTCAGATGCAGAGAACATGGATTGAATATACAAGGTCCTTGTTTAGAGAGGTGGTGCATAAAAAAAAAAGACGCTAACTTTCTCAAGTTTTTTTATTTTTTACTTTGTTGGTATTCTGTGTTATTGTTTTGTTTTCAGTTTTTTAATCCTCTTTTATTCTTTGTGTGGATGAAGGGGTTTCTGGATGCCCAGTTTCAACAGCTTCAGCTTCTGCAAGATGAGAGCAACCCAGATTTTGTTGCTGAAGTGGTTTCTCTCTTCTTTGAAGATTCTGAGAGGCTTCTGACTGATCTCACATCTGCCTTGTAAGGAGACTCTCTCTCCCTCTCTCTCAAGCATCTGAAACTGCTTGATGTTGATTAAAAGTTTTGATCTTTTTCCTTTTGGTTATGGTTGATTCTAGGTAGCTGACTGACTGTGTTTTAACTTTGCTACATTTTTTTTAATGGGTTTTCTCTTACCTCTTCTTTTATAGAGAACATCAAAGTATCGACTTCAAAAAGGTTGATGCTCATGTTCACCAGTTGAAGGGTAGCAGCTCCAGGTATATGTTTGCTTCCTATACAACTATAAAAAGCATTCTTGAGTTATTTTATTTTATTTTATTTATACATAGTGGATTTAAGTATTAGGTCGTATTAAAATAGTTCAGATCTAAAGTCTGACCTAGAAAAATTAGACAGAAATTTATTGTTTATTTTTCTTCAGCTCATTTTTGTTTGATTGAGAGAGAATGAATTCTTTAGCTCATTTTGAGTGAATAATTGGATTTTGTGCTATACAGCATAGGCGCACAGAGAGTTAAAAACGACTGTATCGCTTTCCGCAGCTTCTGTGAGGAACAGAACATTGAAGGGTGTGTTATTTTCCTCTACTTCATTCTCCAGATTGTTTTATTTTATAGTTTCAATGTATTTTCTCAGTTAGCAACTGCATCTCAGGATTGTTATTTTTAAATGATTATATATTTAATATTTCAATTTCATGTTATTGGGTACTTGGATTGCAGGTGCCTGAGATGCCTGCAGCAAGTGAAACAGGATTACTGTCTTGTGAAGAGCAAGCTTGAAGCACTAATCAGGGTGAGTACAGTGAACTTTTACTTTCATTTATTTAAAGAAATCTAGTTATTGAATTTATTTTATATTGATTTTTTTGTTTTTCAAATGCAATGCTATGTGTCTATTGCAGCTGGAGCAACAGATTGTGGCAGCTGGTGGGTCGATTCCTATGGAAGAATTGAGTTTTTAAGGCTATCCATGCAATGCAAGGAAAGCTAGTAAAAATGGAAGGATAACACTAGAGAAGCCTTTTTGAGTTTTTGTGTTCTACTTTTCTCACTGTAAGATTCTGTTTAACTAATGAGGTTGTGCTTTTATGAATTTCATGAAGATACAGCCCATCAACTACCACTTATCATTATGTGCTGAATCCAGAGAACCATGGCCCTTCATGCTTTTGTTCATGCAAAATGTCAAGATGTTAATTTTGTTACTGTAATTATGGCAAAGGTCATTTACTTCACAAGATTCAGGCGACCTGATGTTAGGTTTTAGGGAAGTTAATTTTTGTTCTCAATCTACAACTTGCAAGTGGTTTACACCGAGTGGCATTTATGTTTCAATCAAGTGCAAAATTGTCTGTAGAAGCCGCTTTTTCCTAATTAATTAAAAGTTGAATATCTCCTCCTCCTCCTCTTCTTCTTCTTCTTCTTTTTTATTTCCCCCCTAATGAATGAAAAATGTTCATTAATTAAGCAACTTGTGCAAAAAACTTGAATACGAAAGCAATATATGACTGCAATGCATTGTTGCTGAAACTGATACAAAAAATAAATAATTATTTTAAAACTCACTACAAAGATTCTAATATCGACAAAAAGATTGTATTTAGAATCTTCTAACGCTTTAGTTAACAGTTTATGTATTTAAACCTCCTGTGCATATATTTTTTAAAATAATATTAGTTTTTTTTTTTGTCCTGTGTGATTGTGAACTTTCGCATTTCTAGCTTTTCAAACAAACTAGATAAATGAGCGTCAAATAATTCGCAAGACAGTTGTACGCTGGTTATTGCAACAAAAGAGTAAAACTTGTTGCCACATAGATTTTGTTACAGGACATGCAGAGGAAATATGGTCTATGTCTTCATTAGCAAGATTGCATAGTTAACATTTGGTGTCAATCACTCTTTCCATCTTATCTTGTTTGAACTTAGTAGTTAATCTATCCAAGATAGCCAACCAACAGATGAAGCTATGCTTGGGGATGTGAAGGGGACCTCATAATAGTTTATATCAATTAACAATTCTGCCCTTCTTCCTTGTAGCTTTCCACATACTTTTCGTAGAAAATCGACCATTAGGAGTGAGATTCCAAGAGACAACATCTTCTTGGAAAGGATGGGGATAGATCACACCACAAGTCATAATCTAAACAAGCTCCATTTGATTGTTTCTAGCAGCAGGCCACTTCCAATCATCAGCATGAATTACTTCTGACCATATTGTTTAACCAATGGACCACAAGGATGCCAAGGATCCCACAAAATGAAGATATTTTTATCATTTCCCATAGGGTATGAAGTATAATTCCAAACAATTTGTTTTAGTTCCAAAAGTTTCCTTAAATTCCATGAGCATTCATTGGGAACGGACATGCTCCCCAAATTTCCATCTTCAAATAATAAGCTTGACACCATGCAACCCAAAGAGATCCTGATTTTAACAAAAGGCACCATATACTTCTGGTAAAACAAGCAATATTCCATTCTTTCATCTTCCTAAGGCTTAAGCCTCCTTCTTTTCTTAATAAAGTAATATGTGACCATGAAGTTCTTGCTTCTTTAGCAGAATCACCCTTGCCAAACCAAAGGAAAGCATTGCACTTCTTTTCAGCCTCTGTATGTTCAGTTTGACATTCAGTATCTTGTAGGACTAGCACATAATTTCAACTGCCAGATTTGTTGTAGGTGACGACATCACCCATCATGTTTGAATTTGGCGGCAATAGCAAACATGCTTTAATGTAGGAATTTGATCTTCCTACCCAAAACTTTTGCTCAAGTTTTTTTTTCTGATATTGTCGATAGTAATGGTAACGATGGAACCAAGTCCTTTAGGTGGTATGACATCTATATAATAATAGTAAAATGGATGCAGTGATGTGGACAATTTTTTTTTTTCAAGTCATATATTTTGATGATTTAAGTAAAGGATTGTCGTGCTGATTTTTTTTTTTTTTAAAGCCAAGTCATATATAGTGATGATTTTAATTAATGGATGAATAGCAATATTTAGTATATCACAACCATCATCATTAACTCTCTTATCTTAACTCTTGTCTTAAAGAGAGATACACTAGGATTAAAAAGAGATAGAGAGAGAGAGAAGAGGTAAAAAAGAAACAAAATATAGAGATAGAGAAAGAGAAGAGTGATAATTGTTAAAATTACAACCACCGTAAGAGAAGAGGCTGACACCATAGCCTTTACTCTTTTCTTTTCTTTTCTTTTCTTCCCTTCTCCTCTCCTTTAAGTGGTGTTTGTCTCTCTTCTCTATGTTTTCCCCTTTTCTAGTCTTAATTTGTCATTCTCTCATGTTTATCTCGCCTTGTTTGTCTCTTTTTTGCAATCGAGTGGATCATGTTCTCATAAACATAAGGTTAATGATTGTAGAGATTTTTCTATTTTTTCTTTTATTTTTAACTTTTGTTTTTTTTTTTTAATTGTATTTCTCTATTGTCTTCTATTTTAAATTCTTCTTTTGACATTTGGTTTCTATTTTAATTTCGTCAATCTGTTAACTTTTTTTGTTTTAATTTCATTTCTCTACTTTATTTTTGGGTTTTCCCATGTATAGACACTCTATTCTTTGATTCTTTTTATTGAGATTTTCTATTTTTTAAATTTGATTGAGACCATCTATTTTTCAATTAGTTTTGTTTGAGATTTTTCATTATGATATTGTTTGTTTTTAATTTGATAAGACATGTTATTGTTAGACTCCATTTCTTCATGATTGACATGTGATATTGTGGGTTTCACAACTAGTCTAAATTAAAAAATTAATTAAAAACTGATTTAAGAAATAAAATAATATAAAAAAGAGTTGAAAAGACCAAGTACACCCACCCAATTAAAAAAATCATGCTCTCTCTCTCTTTCTTTATTGTTGTTCTCTCGTCATATGACACCATCTCTCTCTCTTTGTTGTCATTCTTTGTCACATGACAACATGAAGCGCTCCAACTATGTTGAGAGTTTTGTTAGAAGTGGGGAAATGACTGTCGAAGCTACTTTGCGGTTGCCATTGCAATGCTTATAGGTTTAGTAACCATTTTTAAGTTCGTACTACTAGAAATTACATTTTTATGAGATGTAGGAGAATGATGAGAGGAGTGGAATTGTAATTATCTTTGTTGGTGATGATATTAAATCAATTTTTTTATACATGAACAAATCAATAATCTTATTGGATCAAATTTAGACAAAATAAGGGAAAATCGGAGGTATTAGAAAAATATGTTTTGATGTATATTGATGATGGTGATGATATAAGATGCTTCAATGGAAGCGGGTCATTCTCATTGTCCTCGATATGTTTACAAGTTATAAAAAGATTGCACATTGATCATATGGATTGGTGGGTTTTGCGAGATTTATTTTAAAATTTATGCTTTTTGATTTTGTTGGCTTGTAATTTATTATGACTAGTAGCTCATTGATTTCCATTATGCATATTCTATTAATTAATATACTTGTATATGCATTAGAGGTAATAAACATGTGTTAAATGGTGAGCTATTAGGTTAATGGTAGCTACACTTGTCACAATCAATTACAACTACCTTGTATGGTAATTATCCTATAACGTTTGGAATTAGTAATTAATTTAGTTTTATACTGCATATATAGCTGGAAATTTACGAGAGAGAGGCATGTAATGTGATTTGTTTTTCTATTGAATACAATGGATTATATTTTCTCTCTCAACTTCTTTCTTCTTTATCTCTTACGGATACTAGTTAAGGAATCTATTACCGGATCTTAACAATTATATTAGAGCTTAATTATTATGAACGAGTTCATTACTAAATCATGGTGGATAATCACAAATTTGAAGCATTAGAAGAAAATAATAGACAATAAGAGGAACGATTCAAGAGCTTCATCAAGAAATTCAAGATAATATTAAATCAATAAAGAAGAAAATGCAAGATTAGGTGCGACGAAACACAACTTCAATTTGAAGTTTAAATGGCGACAATCAAGTCAACTTTGGCAGAGAAAGGATTGAGAAAAGAACAAGGATCATCTTCAAGTTGTTCTTAAGAAATCAACCATAAAAACAAACTGGTACACCTAATGCATCATAGCAAGTCCATTTTTTCACCCGAATTCTAGAAGTCCGGGTACAATGCATCCTTGCCTATGGTCGATTTGTAAATGTTTAGTGGGGAAAATCCAAAGGGTTAAATTTAAAATATAAAAGTTCTTCAAAATGAATTTTACTCTAGTTCCTCAATGGGTTGAAATTGTCGCGATGTATTTAGAAGGGAAAACTAAAATATGATTTGAAAGATTTATTGTTGGTAGTGATTTGGGTAACTGGAAAGAGTTTGTGAGAGAGATTTGCGGGAGGTTTAGTTGTAGAGATGATGTGGTTGGGAAGTTTAACTAACTTAGTCAAGAGGAAGATGTGGAGGAGTATGAATTTTTTTTTTTTGAAGAATTGAAGTCTCTAATGTCTATAGTGAAATCTCAATTGCCAAAATCTTATTTTATTTTTAGTTTCATCAATGGAATCAAAGAAGATATTGAACCTATGCTAAAAATCTTGAAGCCTACAACTTTTGTTTAAGCTTTTGACTAAGCTAAATGGCAAAAAGAGTCTACTACTACCTTAACTAAAATGTCAAATAACCTTATCAAGAATTCTCACATGTACAATACTTACAATAATAACCGACCTATTTGGAGCAAACCTTATACCTTTTCCAACAAAATTGATCACAACGAAACATAATAAACTAACCAATACCGCCTTACAAAAGAACTAACCTAAATCACTACAAGACTAGAGAAGAAGGTTAGGATTATGTTTTAGGTGTGGTGATAAGTACACTTCTAGACACCAATGTACCAAGAAATCGAGTACATTTTTTAGAGGCGATTGATGATTATGAAGAGTTTATGGATGTAAAAGAGGACATAAAACTAGAGAATTACTTGGATGTTATGAAAGATTTTGG